CCTCCGTCCCAAACTTCCCTCTCCTTGCCTTGCCTTCCCTTCCCTTCACTGCATGGCGGGAGCCCGGGACTCTCCCTCCCTGGAGGCCCCTCCTCCTCCTCCTCTTGGCCCTCCTCCAGGTTTTAAAAGAGAATTGTCCGTGTGTATTTGCTTTTCACATTACAGTAAATGCGAAATTACTGTAATTTCGCAAATACATTTCCTCTAAACTCCCGAAATTAAAAAGATCTCGGATAATACCACTTTCTGACCAGTTTCTGTGTGATGTCGTGTGAAATTGTGAGGCGCAAATTCAGTTTTTGTTTGGGATTTGTGTGGATTAACCAACAGATTTCCCCCGTGTGATAACGGCCACCTCCTAATGTACCATTTCTCAATTTTATAGCTGTTTTCCAAATGCAACTTGAAAGACAGAGATGCTAAACTGAATTTTCCCTTGCCTAGATGGATGCAGGAGTAAACTAATCCACTGTCTTCTCATTTGAATAAAAAAAATTGCTTTCTGTCCTTTCAATACCAAAGCCTTGCCATCAATACATTTACAGTTTTCCCTGCCCCTCCTATTCTCTTGGAATTTGGAATAGTGCCCAAGTTCCCAGAATGACGTTCAGCTGGTTTCACTGCAACTGATCATAGTGTCCTGATCCAATTATGTTGCATTTCTTTCCCTTTTGAACTCCTTAACTAACCTATAATTTTTCATCTTGCATGCCCAAAGCTAAATGAAGTGTCTGATACGCCCAAAGAATTCTTAACCTACCACCATGGACTAGATTGGGAGCTGACATAATCTAAAATGACAACCAGAAGGCTGTGACTAGGTTTCATATTTAGGTTAAACAAGGCTAGTCAAGTCACAGAATATGGACAGATAAGAACACCTGCCCACTCATGTACATCATGGGTTGTAAATTGGTATTTCTCTAACTGCTTTCATCCTGGAGTGTCTACTAGAAGAAAGGATCTCATTAATTTAAAACATATAGCTGCAGAGGCTTAAGAGCTACTTGATATGATTTTAACTCAGTACTTCATTCACGTTTAATTATGCGTTTAACTTTTGTATGTTTCTAGTGTTGATTTTATACTTTTTTAATTAGATGATTTTAATTGTTTTTACATTCTTCTTGTGAAGTTTTTTGACATGTTATAATCTCATGGGCTGCCTTGGATCCCTTACTGGGAAAAGGTGGCATAAAAATGAAATTAAGAAAAATAAATGGCCTACTAGGCTCAAAGAAGTAGAGCAAATGTGAAAAAGAGAAATGTACTTGATAAACTAATGAAATTAAGTTCAATTCACAGGCTAACAGAAAACCAAATTATGAGCTGCTGAGCCAAATTATGGGTCCAAGAGACCTTTAAAAAGTTACATGGATGGGAGTTTCCATTTCCGAGAGCTGTAGTAGCTCTTCCAAGATCTGGTCTGAGCAACTTCAGGTACTGTTCATGTGTGAGGGCTCCCCCATGTGAAAATTTGCATCCTGTACCAAAGGGTCAGGGAATTTGGAAGATCATCCCTCCCGTACAAACCTGCCCATAGTTTCCTATCTTCTTTGGAGAACCTCTTGTTTTTCACTAGACACTAAGAGACTAGGTTGGAAGCAATGCAGAATGGGGCCTTCTTTGTGACAACATCCTGGCTCAGGCCACACAATTGCTGTATTATTGTGAGGTGCACTTGTTTGTGTTTGGCCATAAGAAACAGTCTCAGAGTTAAAGAAAGTCTTTCAGAGATAAATAAGTCTGTCCTATTATCTCATGAAGTAGTGGTTTGAGTGTTGGACTATAACTCGGGAGACCAGGGTTCAATTTGCATTTATGACCTTGGGCAACTCTCTCAGCGCCAGTGGAAGGCAATGCTAAACCTCCTCTGAACAAATCTTGCCAAGAAAACTCTATGATAGGTTTACCTTAGGATCTCCATAAGTCGGTAACAACTTGAAGGCACACAACAACAACATATTATCTTATTCTGGATGTCACCCCAGCGCTAGGATGGCTGTGTATCCTACTATACAGGAGACAGTTCTCCATTATAAAGCCATCTGATCATCCTGAGTAGTCATCAACAGTAAGCAGGTAGACACCGGACTGAACTGCCAGACACACAGATCACTTGCCCAGGGCCTTTAAAAAAGCTGTGTGCAGTAATCTCCTGAGAGAGCCCTAGAGGGCACCCCAATTATTTTTTAAATTTGTACAGAATAGTGTGGTTCAGTGGTTCTCAAACTGAAGGGCAGGAACTCGGGGGGGGGGGGGGACACAAGAGTTACTCAAGGGGGGCACTAGACTTGAAGGCTCTGATTCGTCCTCCTCCTCTTCCCAAACTTTTTTATGTACAAAATGTACACATGTGTTGAGTTAAATATTGAATTTGCTTAAATAAAACTGTTCTAATTTGAACAATGTTATTTCCTTATAAAATGTTAAAGTATAAATATGCATGAATGTGTGAATGAAAATATACAAACTAACTAAATAAAATATTTTTATTCATATACTACATGGGGGTGGGGATGACATCCTCATGTAGATGTAAAGTGGGGTCCCAGGGATAAAAACTGGTGTGATTCAGTTGAAAGAGCTTGATAAAACGAATTAGAAGTTTTGTCATAACTACGTAAATAAAACTGTGTCTGTTTCCTCATCATGCATAAATGGACAGACAGATTTTCTCCACAAACTGAAGGGATGTTTGAGATGACCTGACTAAACTTATAGGCTATGTAACATACATAAAATTAATTTCAGGGGGCCTGGGGGCACTGCAATTAGTATTTTGTTGATTGATGCAGAGTAGCATGCTTATGGCTGATCGAGAGAGACATATTCTTTCAAGAACAATTGAGATGAGGGTGTCAGGTCAGGAATATTTCAAGTCCTTAGCTTTCAGAGTGAAAAACTGAGAATTAGGGATAACCCCTTATGATTTGACAGGATATAAGTCCTGGTGACATTACAAGGGTGATGTTACAAGGGGCAGGCTCTAGTGAAGTTATTAAACATAAAGCATTGGCCACAGTTGTATAGTTAATGTTGTTGGGAGCCTTCAAGTCAAGCCATTTCCAGCTGAAGGCAACCCTAAAGCAAACCTATCAGTAGTTTTCTTGGCAAGATCTGTTTAGAGAAGATTTGCTTTTGCCTTCCTCTGAGGCTTAGAGCATGTGACTTTCCCAAGGTCACCCGGTGGGTTTCCATGGCTAAGTAGGGATTCGAACCTTGGTCTCCAGAGTCATAGTCCAATGCTCAAACCATTACACCAGGTTGCCTCAGAGTGTATCATTCAAATTTTAAAAAATTAGGTCTAACATATGATGAATACACACACACACACACACACGTACATATCTTTCAAGGCAACACTCTCACTTTGAGATCCCCATCACCCTGAGAACCAGAGAAGAGAGGCTAGGGCTTGAGATCTTGCCAATAGAGACTGATGTGCAATCTGTGGAACATCTACCGTAAGTATCCAAAGAGATAAACACTTATGCTCCATTGCATTTGAAACTGAAGTGTCATAAATGAGGGCTAATGATTCTCCTGAGCTCCTGGGTACTACAGCTACAGTATGAATGTATCTGTTCCAGTCCAGCCTTGACTGTGCAAAAATAATGCAAATGCTGAAACATATGTATGTCTGAGAGACAACCTATGGGTATTGATTGTAACTCTCACATTACAATTGCAAGCATTACAGTACAGACAAGTCTTTTAAACGTAACACAAGACCTAGTGCTTAGATGGGAAGATTAAGGGCAGACATGATCTGGTTTTAACACTTTCTCCAGAATCAGCCAATTAATATTTAGGCGAACTAATGCTGCACTCTGCAATATCTAATGCAATGATGTCAGGCAGCATTCTAAGGATAATGAAGTGTCACTCTGGAAGAAACCAGCCAGTTCTCTTTTCTGACAGGGACCCATTTCCTTAACATCCCCACCTCTCTCCCTCCATCAATATACCTATATTTCTGGAAATGCTTTGCCTGCTGAATTCTACTTGATATGGAGTTCTTAAGGATTCCAAAATCAGAACACAAAAATAATTGGCAACCTACTAGATCAAAAGAATCCAAGGACTGAAAACACAACCTGCTAAGACTGAACCACTGATACAAGCATAGGTAGGAAATTTTGGTGCTCCAGATGTTTTCAACTGCAACTCTCATAATCCCACACTATTGGACAGATCAGATAGATCTTCTGGGAAATGGGGCCCCAAACATCTGGCAGCCCAAAGGTTGTGCACAGAACAAAAACTATAATGTTACATGTTTTCTATGCATGACGGACTATTCCCATCTGTTAATTTAAAAAAGCAACACCTCTTTTATGCAACTCAAGCCATGCTCCAAACAGTAGTGAAATACAGATCTTCAGTTCTTCTAAATGTTAAGACAAAGTGACATTCCAAACAGGTTCAAAATACAGAGGAACCTCCCTATGGAACAATTATTTGTCAATAGAAGCAATTATTTCATTGAGGCAAGATGAGGTTCTACTATTCTGTGGTGTTTTTTTTCCAGGTTACTTTCTATATCTACAACAGAAGTGGGAATTATGCAGCCCTCCAAGTGTTGTTGGACTGCAATTCCCAACATTCCTCTCTATTTACTGTACTGGCTAGGGCTGCTAGGAATTGCAATCCAACATCTTCTTGAGAATCACATTAGTCCAAAGATATAATAGAACGAGTACTACAGTAGGGAGATTATTGCACAAACATAAACACACGACTTACCTCTCCCAAATTCAAATAAAATTCGGGCTGCATCCGGGTCCCATTCCATGGCTTTTGTCACCAAATCTGCCATCCGAGTGTAGCCCAGCTCACTTAACTCGCTTTGCAGCCATTTTTCAAAAGTCAGAAGCTTCCTGATGAAGCTTACCTGATAAAGAAGCCCATGGAGCTTCAAAAGCTTGCAACAAGTATATTGTGAATTTTGGTTGGCCAATAAAGGTATCACTGATGGATTTTTGTCTGAATTGGCACTGACAATTAGATTTAAGTTTATGAATGCAAAGTATGAATGCGCATAGATAACACCAACTCCTCAGTGAGTTTGTCATTCATGATTATGCGTACCAGCTGATGTGCTCTGCAGTTTTCCAAGTGGTAAATATGACCAGTTACCTTTTACAGTAAAGTGAATGGTTACAAGAAAATTCTACTGGTTACCTGGCTTGTGCCCACAACAGTTGTATTGATCTGTTAAATTCCATAGCACTCAGAAATGAAGAACAAATCAGTAAGTTCTAAACAGGTACAGGCAAGTCTTATAAAATATTTGACATGAGATAACACATATGCAGTGTAACGAAATTGCAAATACCTGGAATGTTAAGGAAGATGTTGCAAAATCATGATTACAATTGAAGAAAACAAAATTAATCACCACAGATCATTTACATCATTTAAATGTCAATGAAGACACTGGGATAGTTAAAGGTTTTCTATATTTTGGAGGACTCATAACATTACAACAGCTGATGGCCCAATGTGGTGTAATGTTTGGGTGCTGAACAGGGACTCTGGGAGATCAGGATTTGAATCCTCGCTCAACCATGAAAGCCCACTGGCATACCTTGGGTGAGTTGCACTCTCTAAGCTTCAGAGGGAGACAAAGGCAATCCCCCTCTGAAGAAATCTTGCCATGAAAACCCTATAATATGGTTGCCTTAAGGTTGTCGTATATCAGAAATGAAGACATACAACAGCAAAGTCAAAAAATGAGAAGACCAGGACTTGTAAGAGTAGCCAGGAAGGAACTAGATAAGATTCTCAAGTGTAAAGATATATAATTAAATACCAAGGTCAGAATCATCCAGACCATAGTATTTCTGATGTCTATGTATTGTTGGGAAAACTAGACTGCAAAGACACCTGACAGGAAGAAGGCTCATTTGAAATGTGGGTCTGGAGGAGAGTTTTACAATACTATGGACCACCAAAGAGACCAATAAATGGGTCTAAGAGCAAATGAAGACAGAACTCTCCTTAGAAGCTAAAATGACTACACTGAGCTATCATCCTTTGGAGACACTGTGAGATTCCATGACTCCCTGGAAAAGACGATAATGCTCAGAAAAGTGGAAGGCAGTCAGAAAAGAGGAAGACCACATTATAGATGGATAGTCAAGGAAGCCCTCTACTTTCGAAACCTGAGAAGGGCTGTTGATGACAGGGTGTCTTGGGGATCTCTCATTTATAGGGTCAACATAAATCAAAACTGACTTGGTGGCAAAAAACAAGAAGATAATATTTGACAGTCATCTAGAACATTTACACATTACTGGCCCAAGACAGAGCCAAGTTAACCCACTGATGTCCAGGTGATTAGAAACATTTATGTCTGTGTGAGGTTGTGGCCTTTGTATTTCATTCTTCATTCTAGGTGTGGTTTTTCTTTAGGTAGAATAGTAATTCATACATGCATAAAAACACTTCTTCTTTCTTCTTTCTACTTCCTTAGATAGCACCTTATATATTTTACATCAAAACTCATGCAACACCCTTATTGGTTGTTGTGTGCCTTCAAGTAATTTCCAATTTATGGCGACCATAAGGCAACCCTATGACAATTTTTGTTGTTGTTGTTGTTGCAAGATTTGTTTGTGGGAGTACTACCTTCCTCTAACACTGAGAGAGTGTGACTTGATGAAGGTCACCGGTGGGTTTCCATGGCTGAGCAGGGATTCAAACCCTGTTCTCTAGAATTGTAGGCCAACGTACAAACCACTGCACCACACTGCATTGCCATGACTGGAAGCGATCTCACAGCACTTTCTGGTTCCATTTTTGGTCATTTCTCCCCCATTTTGTTTGTTTATTCGTTTTTAAGGTACCGTAATTGGAGGCTTTGGGAGGGCTCTGGGGGTACAACTGCCTTGCTTTGCTACACTTTGAGTCTGGTTTAGGCTGAAAAATCATTTGTGAAAATGTTTTTAAAATGGGGTGGGGGAAATCTCTGACTTCAGGGGCTGCAAAATAGGGCCTAAAGTTCAGTACTTTCCTCACTTTTGCTCATCACCGTAAGTACTGGGAGCTCAACTTGGTTCAGGACACGAGTGGGAGAGGAGGGGGGATTAACCATTTATCTTCTCTCCAGTATCCTCCAATAGATGAAAACTGGGACACATATGACCAAGCAACATTAGAGTATGGTTAAGATGATAAAAGTTATTAAAGAAGAGGATCAGACAAGCCAGGAGAGGCTGCAGCAGTTTGTTTTTACCTGAGCCTACTGGGGAGGGCAAGGTTACATCCCCTCCTCTCCCCCGGCTGAATTAAATGAGTGCAAACTAGTTGGACACATTGAACTCAGTTTGCAGCAACTAAAGTAAACCAAGAACAAAGAGGAAAAACAGGAGGGCGAGAAATTGGCACATTTCAAAAGTAGCTGTAAAGGTGGGACAACAGAAGTTTAATCAGGACTGGCCTGCCAAACTGGGACAATTGGAGGGTATGCTCTCCACTCTGGGACCAGTCTGGGGCCCTGCTATTTATATTGCAAAATAGTAATAATCAGAGCAAATTCCCAAAAAATGGCTGGGGGGGAAAGTTACAACTTACAGCTCCTTAAAGACTAACACATGTTATTACTGGAAAAGGTTTTGTACTGTATAGCATAGTTCACAAGTTGTGTCTTACAAAGTGAGTTATCTTAAATAATATGACTTGTCTGATCCGGTTTAAAATTTAAAGCAGGCAGCATCCTGATATTATCAGAAGGATTTAGCTGCTGAAATTACTGCCTGGGTCCATCCCAGGTCCATCCCTGCTCCCAGGGCCACTCTGGCGGCCATTTTCTTAAGCCGGAAAACTCCCAGCTTTGAAAAGAGGCACACTGAATGCCCCTGGGAGCAGGGATGGATCCGGAGGTGATTTTGGCAGCTAAATCCTTCTGATAATATCAGGATGCCACCCGCTTTAAATTTTAAACTGGATCAAGTAAGTCATATTATTTAAGAATGTGGTAAGCTTCCTAGTCTACACAAAAGTTTATGTCATATAACTCAATGCATTTATTTTTAAGTCACTACAAGAACTCTTTCATGCTGGAGCAAACTGATCTCTGCTTTGCAATACAGACTTCACGTGTAGACCCAACAGAGGAGTGAAATGGTTAAAGACCCTCTACTTCTGACATTAGGGATTCAACTGGGCCCCAGGGATAACTATACAGTAAGGGAAGGAGAGAACTGTAGCTGCTTGGTATGTGTTTCAGGTAATGTCTGCTACTCAGAGCTAGGAAAAGTTGGGTGTTTTGGGGTTTGTTTGTTTGTTTGTTTTGGATTGGGAGATTGTCCCTTTTGGACATGCTGCCTGCAGATTTTGGGAAATCCAGTCCAAAAAAAGTAAATTTTCTGAGTTGGACTGCACAACCAATTTCTCAGTCTTGGAAAAGGGTCTAGAACAGCTACACCTTGCCCAGGATGTCCAGTAATCCTACTTCTAGTTCATAGTTCTGGCATATCTCCTAAGATCTAGATGACAGTTAGACAGACTTAGGAAAATAAGATTCCCTAAGCACGATCTACAATTTACACTCAGCATTTCCCCCCCTCATATGAATGAGTGGGTTAGTACAACCTGGAACACCACTACCCTTGGAACCCTTAGGCCTCAATAAGGTACAGGTTGAGTATACCTTATCTGGAATTCTGAAATCCGAAATATTCCAAAATTCTAAATCATTCACATGGATGTCTAAGATAGTGACTCTTTTGCTTTCTGATGGTTCAGTCTACACAAACTTTGTTTCATGTATAAAATTATTAAAAATGTTGCAGATAAAATTACCTTCAGGCTATGTGTATAAGGTGTAAATGAAATGTACATGAGTCTCATGTTTGGACTTAGGTCCCCACTCCAAAATAGTTCCTTATATATATGCAAATATTCCAAAATCCAAAAAAATCTGAAATCCAAAACACTTCTAATCCAAGCATTTTGGATAAGTGAAACTCAACCTATATACCCTATGCTTTGGCCCTGCCCAACCCCCTCTGGTCTAAAGAGGGCATGAATTATGGCACAGTGAAACTAAAACAATCATTACATGCAAAATTTGTCCAATTATCTGTAATCCCAACTCTCCCATTGCACACCTATATGGTCTTTTTTCAAGAATTAGCTTTACTAGATCACACCAAAGGATCCACTTAGCCCATCATGCTGGTTTAAGGAGTTTGACACACTTATGAAGGAAGAGGCTAATAGACACTACAGTTTTCAGTCTCACTGAATTATCAACCCAATCCTCATTGAGACACCAATCCTTTATAAGTGTGTCAAACTCCATAAAGCAGCCTTCCCAACCTAGGTTCATCTAGGGTCAAAAACTGAGAGCAGGAAGTAGACAAAGTGAATTTTCTGCACTATTTCTAAGAACATCTTATGAAGACAATACTACCATTAGTAATGCATGCACATTAATTTTAGGGTGTCCAAATAGCTGTGCATCAGATACAGAGTAATTTCCTAGAAACTATCACCTGAAACAGTCAAAGTACAATTTCAAAACCATATTATTTAACCTGTATTGTATCTGCTAGTTTATCAGTGGCATCACTAGGGGGATGTGGGAGGTGCACACTGCACCAAGTGACACCCTAAGGGGGGGTGACACCACTGCTTCTCAAACATCTGTATTTTGGTAGAAACACTCTGTGGCATTTGCCTGTATCTCTTTAAAATATTGAAGAGATGGTGTGAGTGGGGTGGGGGTCAGTAGGAGGAGAAAGGAGAGGCCCCAGGTTTTTTTAAAAATTAACATTTAAATTTTTAAATTTTAAAATTATTTTAAAAGTTAAAAAAAAAACATTTAATGGGTGTAGTATGGAGGAGGTCAACGACGAGGGGAGTGACACCATGAGTTACCTCACCGGGTGACACCAACCTAAGTGACGCCACTGTCGTTTATGTTACTAATTGATTTGACAGAGTGTAAGAAACAATCCAACTTAGGAAATATTTTCTTCTAGTTACCAGTTCTACAAAGATGCAACACATGTATGAATGCCTTCATGCTGTGGCAGTGAATGATGAAGCCAGTGGTAAATGTGGAAGAGATAGGTACCCAGGTTTTTCACCTCTCTCACTGATAAAATCAAACCTTCTTTTCCAGTCCTGCTCACCTGGACATTTATCTGTCCAGCTGGAGATCCAGAGAAGTATAAGAACTTTCCTGAGATTCAGCTGGCAACCTGCAACCTGGCAAAGGTTAGCAACACTCCAATATTGACTAAATCATAATGATATAGCAGAATACTGTACTGCTTTCAGAACTGCAGTTACCAGGCACTAAACATAAAGCAACAACAATGATTAATATGATGGTTTCTTGAGTGGAAGAAGGCTTCTGCGATGAGCACCAATTTAAATATGAAAATATGAAGTTGCTCTATACTGAGGGCCAATCTCAGTGTGGATGGGATTATGGCAGATCCATACATTGAAACCCATATTTTCCCCATAGACTTTCAACTCACTAATGGGTCTAGTTTAAAGTGCAGGAATGCCAAGGGATAAGGTGTATAGAATGGCCCCATTATTTGTGTGCCATGCAGAGATTGCCTTCCCCAGTACTGCTTTCCCTCAGAACCATGACCCAATGCTAGGCCAACTGAGAGAGAATTACTTCCGGGACAGATGGCAGTGAAGAGTCCATGGGCTCATTCCCACTATGATTTGAAGTAAATTTTTTCCCATTAGAAATGGTTTCAGATGCAACTGCGATCATTTGGACTTGCTTGGAAGCGAGACAAATGCAAAAAAAAATATTGCTTTTTTCAGACAGTTCTTTTGAAAAGAAGTGATTCAGATGAGTGTTCAACCAGTGGGAAAGACAGATCTGAATCACATCTTGCCAAAGTCCATGTCCTTGATGTTGATGGTGGTGAGCTGGGCTCTTTTGGCCTCACAATCCCTGATACAGAGAGAGAGAGCGAGAGAGAGAGAGCAATGGCAATGCTCACTGATGAGCTGCCCTCCATCCTCTGCCCAGCCAATACAGGAGAGCAGGAGGGCTATGTTGTGGCCCGTGGGCTCCGGGAACTTGAGGCTGCCATAGCCGGGGGGGGGGTTGCAGTAGCTCCTCTGCCCGTAGAGAGGAGGAGGCGGCAGTGGCGTTAGGGGCTGTGGCTGTGGGCGCTGTTGCTGCTGGCACTGGGGTTGGGGTTGGCGACCCCAAACCAGTAAGTAACTAGTAGGGATGTTGTTGGTTTTTTGGAGGGGAGACCCCATGTGTTTGGTCAGGTGGGATTGGGAAGAAAATTGGAAGAGTGTGAGCGAGCGTTGCAAAGGGGTGGGATATAAATAAATAAATTATTATTATTATTCCAATAAATAAATAAATAAATAAATATTATTCCAAAAGAACAACAACCACCCTTGCCATTAAAATCCTACACTTTCAGCTGGAGGAGAGGGAAACCTGGAAGAGCACTTGTGATTCTTGCTTCAAGTCACTCCCAACTTAGGGCAACCCTATCCTGGGGTTTTCTTCTTCAGAGGGGGTTTGCCATTGCCACCCTCTGGGGAGGCTGAGAGAGTGTGACTTGCCCAAAACCACCCAGTGGGTTTCCATGGTCAAGTTGGGGGCTTTTGCAATAGCTCCTCTGCTCATAGAGAGGAGGCAGCAGCTGTGGCTGTGGCTGTGGGGGCTGTTGCTAGGAGTCCTTGGCAGGGGCAAAAGGTAACGCTTCTCTGGCAGGGCAATTTAACCCTCCATGCTCCTCTACCTTGCAGCA